ATATACATTGTGTGAACTTGATTGATTGAATATCACTTCCAACAACGCTGTGTTTCAACATAAAGTCTCCATGGATAGAGAGGTTGTGCTTCAGGCGGAAGAAAACGCGGAGGGCATGTCGGTAGTTTGCCAACCGAAGCCCACGTGGGAGGACACGTGCTTGCTTGTGCGAGAAGCCGAGAGCCCGGTGTTGTGGCACCGGAGGTTGGGGCACGCCGGGTACGAAAGCCTAGCCAAGTTGAGGGGGACTCGGTTCGGGGTGTGGGGGTCAATGCCGAGGCGTTTCGGGAAAGAACAACCTCGGTGTGCGAGCCTTGCATCTTGGGAAAGCAAACCCGGGAGCCATTTCCCAAGGAGTCAACGTTCAAGGAGAGCACGGAGCCCCTCGAGCTAGTGCATATGGACGTGTGCGGGCCCATGTCGGTGACGTCAAAGGGGCGGAGTCGGTACTTGGCCACTTTCCTCGACGACTATAGCAAGCTCTCGGAGGTCCAACCGTTGGAGCGAAAGAGCGACGTGACGGAGGTCATGGAAAGCGTCTTCGCCCGGTTGGAATTGCAATCGGGGAAGAAAGTGAATGCGGTGCAAACGGACCGGGGTGGGGAGTACGTCAACGAGGGGATGACGGCCCTCCTCGCAAAAAGGGGAACGGTGCACCGGACCACGGCGGGGCACTCTCCCGAACAAACCTGTTCGGCGGAGCGGTTGAACCGGACGCTCGAAGAAAAGGGACGGGCTTTGCTAGAAGACGCCGGGTTGGGGCCGGAGCTGTGGGCGGAAGCGATGGTTACACCTAACTACACCCGGAACCGGGTTCCCTCGAGCGTTCACGGCAAGACCCCGTGGGAGATGATTTACGGGGAGAAGCCGGACCTTAGCCACTTGCGGGTGTTTGGGGCGCGGGTCTACATCCACGTGCCTAAGGGAAAACGGAAGAAGATGGAGCCGGTAAGCGAGAGGAGAGTGTTCTTGGGCTACGAGCCTAACTCCAAATCCTACCGAGTCCTCCGCGAGCGGGATGGAACGGTGTTGACCTCCCACAACGTCATCGTAGATGAGCGCGGGCCCTCCGTGATCGTTGAGCTTGGCTCCGATCCGGGGAAGGAGGAGGGGGGTGCTCGCGACCCTAGGCGTGTGAACCCCCCGACTCGGATGGGTGTAGAGGCTACTCCTACGGGGGAGGCCGACACTCAGCCCGGTGTAGGGGCTACTCCTACGGGGGAGGCCGACACCGGGAGCGAGGATTCCGTCGAAGGGGATGGCGCTCAAGAGGAGACGGCGCGAAGATACCCCGCACGCGAGAGGCGGGCGCCCGGGGAGTGGTACCGGGCATACTTGGCGGAGGAAACCGGGGAGCACCCCAAGGGGTCGGGGGAGCATCCGGAGCCGCAAACGTATCAAGAAGCCGTAGCGGGAGAAGAGAGCGAGCTTTGGCGGAAGTCCATGGTTGAAGAGATGCGGTCCTTGTTGGAGAACGGGACGTGGGAGCTTGTCGAAAACCGGAGGGGGTGAAGCCGGTTTCCATGAAGTGGGTTTACAAGATTAAGCGAGATGCGCTTGGGAATGTGGAGCGGTACAAGTCGCGGGTGGTGGCAAAGGGTCACTGGCAAAAGCACGGGATAGATTTCGAGGAGGTCTATGCCCCCGTGAGCAAGCACACCACCTTGCGGGCGCTCCTCGCGGTGGTTGCGGAGCGCAACTTGGAGCTGCACCAATTGGACGTCAAGACGGCGTTCCTCAACGGTGAGCTCGAGGAGGAGATCTACATGAAGCAACCGGAGGGGTACGAGCAAGGCGGGTCGAACGTGGTTTGCCGCCTCAAACGCACCTTGTACGGGTTGCGACAAGCGCCGCGGGCGTGGCACGCGCGCTTGAAGGAGGAGCTCGGGAACGTCGAGTTTGTGGCGTTCTTTGCGGACGCGGCGCTTTTCACCGGAAAAGTGGACGGTGAGCGGGTTTACCTCGTGGTTTGGGTGGACGTCGTCGCGGCCCGGGGCGCGGAGCGCATTGCAAAGGTGAAGGCGCACTTGGCAGAGAAGTTCGACGTGCACGACTTAGGGGAGGCGACGTACTTCCTCGGGATGGAGTTGGCGCGCGACCTGGAGGCGAGCATCCTCAAGCTCACGCAAAAGAAGCTAACGGGGGAGCTTCTTGGGCGGCACGGATTGGCGGGCGCGCGGGCGCGCTCGGTCACTTTGATGCGGGCGAGAAGTTGACGAGAGAGGGTGAGCCGCTCGACACGGCGAGATTTCCCTATAGCGAGCTCATTGAAAGCTTGTTGTACTAGAGCGTGTGCACACGGCTCGACATCGCTCAAGCGGTGGGCGCTTTGGCGCTCGTTAGAATCCGGTGATTATGGTCAGCCGGATTACTCCGTGATTAGGGTTCGGACCGAGTTAGGGTTTGAACTAGTGAGCGCCGGCGTGCGTGCACAGCGGTTAGGCGGTTAACCTTGGAGGTTAGGCGGTTGAGGGGGCCGTCGATATGGAGCCGTAGATGAGGATATCGATGGCTATGATTGAGTGTGAGTGTGATCTAGGCTAGTGAGCCTAGTAGTGTGTGACTTAGGCTGTGAGCCTAGTAGGCTAGTGAGCCAAGTGGAACGGAAGAGACCCGTAA